CAGCAGACTGAAGGACAGCTTCATCCATCAGGCTGTCAGGAAGCTGAACTCCCTCCCGACCTTGCCCCATGCACCACTGAACTCTGAACCCCCTCCCCCCCAGCTCCCACATCCCCAGGTCCTTCCACTCCCCCCCCTCCCACTAACACACTGGGTATGTGCTGTACATGTGGAAGAATTGACAATAAAGCAGACTTGACTTGACTGTTTGTATGTTGTATTTGATCTCTTCCTTTTCCTGTCCATAATGGACTTAAAAAAGAACTTCCTCTCACATGCAGTACAGGACAGAGTAATAAAGCCCTTCTCTTTATAGGTCACAGGGCAGTTTACGTGGGCGTACACGTACCTTTAGGAAGACAAAGCAGACGTAGACATCGCCACCGTGGTCACAAGCACCATCGGAAAAGGAAGGACAGAGGGTCCGAGCGAGAGGATGGGAGAGAATCGCCAGCGTACGGTAAGAATAACAGTCTAAAATGTCTCAACGCAACTCATTTTCATAAATAAATGGTAATAATTTCTTGTTTTGCTTTGAGTATCTTGACTCATTGGCTGTGTTTTTTTTACTCATGTCTGCAGACACTCCCTCACAGAGGGTCCAGTTTATCCTCGGCACTGAGGATGATGATGAGGAGCATATTCCTCATGACCTCTTCACGGAGCTCGATGAGCTGTCCTTCCGCAGTGGACAGGCTTACGAGTGGAAAGAGATGGCTAGGTAAGAACAACACTGTGTGTAGTGGTTGTTTTTGTGTGTGTATATACTGTATATCACAAATGATTAATTAGCTGACAAAGATGGAGTGAACATCAACACTGAGTTAAATAAATATTGAATGAAGTTATTTAATACGTCATGGAATGTTGCAATAAAAAAAATAAATAAATAAAAGTACAATAAAATGTAAGTATGAATAAATAAGGTGTGAAAAACACTTTCATTAGGCTTATTTGTATTGATTTTAAATATTTATGTATTCAGTTATTTTGTGATAACAGTGATGTGATTTATGTTGCCTGTTTTATGATTTTTTTTCAAGGTGTATTTCATTTAACATTACATGATTTTTCACATTTTAAGGCATATTTCAAGTCAAGTCCTTTTTCATATAACATAAAAAGATGCTGTATTTCACGTCTTATTGATTTGTTCTTAAATTTTATTGTACTTTTATTTATTAACATTCCATGGTGTGTTTAATAATTAAATTTTTATATTTATTTATTTAATTAATTTAGTGTGTCAAATTGCTCCAGAATAAAGGGCCATTTTGACTGATTAACCGAGTTTAGTATTTTTCAGTTATGAGTATGAATATGGGGAAAAACACATTTAATGTCATGTAAAATGCATTTAATTTCAGACATTTTGTTTATCTTATTTGCTAACATTTTAAATGTATTTTTATGTCCTATTATATATTTTATATGTCCTATTATATCAACCAGTGGCCACCTTGTTCTCTAGATATAGACTTCAGCTTTGGTCCTAAAAAAATATTGGTATACATGGTCCCCAAAAAGTATTTGGACACATTGTAAAATGTCTGAATATCATTGCATTTGATGATAAAATATCAAACCATGTGGCATCTGCTAACAACATAATGTTAGACATTTTATAAGATATTTTTGTAGCCATTTTCACAATGACTTTAAATCAGCTGGTCTGAATGAATTTTATGTGTGATGTTTCCTTGTGTGATTTCCTCTCAAGGTATAGTTCTTCATATACACTATGGAAAACCTGAATGTTTGACCACCAGGAAGTGTCAGAATACTTGTTTTAATACTTGGTTAACTTCAAATCCTATTTGGTGCAGGTGGTTGAAGTTTGAGGAGGATGTAGAGGATGGAGGAGAGCGCTGGAGTAAGCCCTACGTCGCCACGCTTTCCCTGCACAGCCTGTTTGAGTTACGGAGCTGCATTCTCAATGGCACAGTCATGCTGGACATGAGAGCAAACACCATTGAGGAGATAGCAGGTAACGTTTGGCCGATAGATAAACCCTTATATCTCAGTACAAACAAAATGAATGTCTGAAAAATGAATGTCTCTCCCTGTTCCCAGACATGGTATTAGACAACATGGTGGCGTCTGAGCAGCTGGACGAGAGTTTGAGGGAGAAGGTGCGGGACGCCGTGCTGAAGAGACATCACCACCAGAATGAGAAGAAACTCAGCAATCGCATCCCGCTCGTACGCTCCTTCGCCGACATAGGCAAGAAACATTCAGACCCGCACTTGCTTGAGAGGAATGGTGAGAGCTTTTGCTGTGCTCGACTTTTTCTTTCTAATATTTACTCAAAAGAACCTAACACTTTTGAACAAGATTCTATTAAAACCACCACTTATTGATCCTATTTCCCACTCAAAAACAAGAAATGAAGGAAGTAGGGGTGCACAGGTTCCTCGAGTCTGTGGCGAGCAGTTATTATTAGACATCCGACAGGAAGTATATGTGACTAGATGCGCCATTTCTTTCAGCGTATTTGACAAGTGCATGGCACGTTTCATTGACTGATTTCAGGCCATTGCGGTGTGCTGTGTTGGTTGCATTTCCTGTCTTTACTCGCACCACAACGTCCTTAAAGGGTTAGTTCACCCACAAATGAAAATTAGGCTGTGTTTTACTCACCCCCGATGCATCCTAGGTGTATATGACTTTCTTCTTTCAGACGAATCCAGTCGGAGTTATATAAAAAATTGTCTTTGCTCTTTCAAGCTCTATCGTTGCACTCAGCGGGTGTTGCATTGCTTCTGTCCAAAAGACGTGAAATAAAAAGCACCTTTCCATAAAAAAAAGTGTCTCACACGGCTCTAGGGGGTGAACAAAGGCCTCCTGTAGCGAATCGATGCATTTTTGTAAGAAAAATATCCAAAAAATATCCATATTAAAAACGTAATAATCACTTGAATCTAGCTTGCGCTTACTGTTGTAAAATGGAAGCAGTTCCGGGGTAATTACGTATGAGGTCAGCTTTGCACATGCGCCGCTCAGAAGTGACGCACGCGGAGAGATCAAAACAAAACACTAATTAGAAGTACAAAGCGAGGATTTGTAAAGAAGAATGTCAGAGGATTTCAATATAAGCCAAGAGGAGACTTGTTTTCCTTTGCTAAAGTAAGGAAACTTTGCTGCTTTTGATCCTGTAAACAAACGTTGGTTTTCACGAGAATCACCAGCGCATGCGCAACTCTGAACTCATACGTCATGCTCCCGGAACTGCTTCTGTATACAACTGCTGGCGCAAGCTAGATTAAAGTGATTATTACGTTTTGAATATGGATATTTTTCAAAGACAATTTTTAATATAACTCCGACTGGATTCGTCTGAAAGAAGAAAGTCATATACTCCTAGGATGCCTCGGGGGTGAGTAAAACGCAGCCTAATTTTCATTTTTGGGTGAACTAACCCTTTAAGGAAGAGCTGAAGTCATGGTGTTGTCATTGCGTGCCTAAGGCCTGTTTCACATGGCACGCATGGGAAATTTTTTAACCGATTAATCTACATTGATTGAAACTCAGATCCCAAAATCTAGCTTGAATCACCTAGATTCAGACAGATTTACAGAATGGAAAATGCTGCATGTTCAGGTCACTGCATGTTAAACTTTCTTCAAACCAAGCAAACAGTTTTATGTGTTTTTCTCCATTTGTTATTTTACTTCATAGGAAAACTTATATATAGCAAAAGATTGTGTTGATAAACCATTTTTAAAGCAATTTCAACTAGTGGTCGACCGATATTGTTTTTTTGACAGCCGATGCCGATATCTTGGAAAGCAGGGTGGCTGATGACTGATATAAAGTAAAATATAAAATAATTTTAGTTATTTTATTTAATATTTAAGAAATTTGAAATCATTTGAAAATGGATTAAAAAAATAAATGTGTAAAATAAACATGCTTATACTTTAAATGACAAAGTATTTTTCACAAATATTTAATAAAAATATAATTAAAAAGGAAGTAAACACTGTAACCAGCAGGGCACTCAGTATTCTGGGAAGTTTGTGTGCATTGGGAATCATATTTTTTCAAATAAAGCCAATGTAACACTCATTTTACATACAGCACACAGTGAAAATGACATGAATATGACATTGGGCAAAAGCATGAAGCGCAGCATAATTTGAAATCACGAGTTTAAAGTTTGTCGATCACGTGTCTCCAGTGAAGCTGAACTCTCCTCCTGTCTGTATTCAATTCACACGGACCGACTGTCACGCAGAGAACATGCGATCATGCGGGATACAAATGCACACTTCATAAGATCTCACAGCTGGATTTGACTAAGTTTGCAAGGTTTTTGAAATCAGATGTTCATTAGTCATTCAAAGATTTGTTTAAATTATATAAATGCGTATTTGCTTTATGCTTACGGCAAACAAGAAAGTATTATAATGTTTGCCTTTCTATTACTAACAATATAAAAGCCATCGTTATAATATTTTTTTTGTATACATTTTAATTCCTTTGTTTAACAGTCCTATCTGATTATTAGACAGACTTCTGTCCGTGGAGAGAACTGTTAACGACGACAGCGAACAAGAGGGAGAATGTGAGCACTGTGTGTTCAGGCGCTGACGTTCTCAGCACCGTCAAAATAAAAGTCCGGCGCCACGAACGCATCGGCCAAACAGAAAAACTTATCGGCCTTGGCGATATATCAGTCGACCACTAATTTCAACAAATGTTTTCTGCTTGATTCAGAGTTTGTTGAGTTGCAAAAATAGGCCCCATTCAGAAACATCTGTGAAACAGGCCTAACCCTGAGATGATTGAAGGTTCTGTGATGGTTTACAACAAAAAACAAGCTAGCAAAGTTAATTAAAATGTTAACGATCAGTGTGTGATGGTCATGTCTTTGGGTGTTGAATCATGTGACTGATTTGCACTGTCCGTTCTTTGCCACCATCTCACCTCCTCACTTCATTCTAACACTCCCAGCTCTCATCACAACATATTTGCTTTTTATTTTAATCATCAATGTTATTTTATTCCATCTGCAGTCTGTTTACTTTCTTTTCCTCTCTTCGTACTTTTCCCTCATCCTTTCCTGACCTCCTGCTCTGGTCCCATCAGGGGAGGGTCTCTCAGCCTCCCGTCTGTCCCTCCTTAGACGTACCTCCTCCACCTCCAGTCCCCCCAGATCACGCCGTCCCTCCAGAGAGTCCCGCAGTTCCCGTTCCTCCATCTTTCTTAACCAGCTTCTGCCGAGCGCCAACTCATCCCCTTCCGCCTCCCCCAATGCCTCCCCTTTCGCCACCCCTCAAAACACGCCCCCCACCGTCCACCGCGCTTCATCATCTCTCCGCTCCCCAGGACCCTCTCAGCAGGGACCCGAGCTGCTGGTGGCACGGGGATTGAGAGAGGACATTCCAGAGGTTGTGGTGTTCCCACCCGAGGAGGAGGAGGAACCGCACTCACTGTTTTCCGACCCTCAGGAAGAGCAGGTGGCACATGACCCGGGCAGGCTGGCACAGCTCTTGCCCCCACCGCAGTCAGGCAAATATCCAGCCCATCAGCATGATGTGTCACCTGCATGAAACATTTGCTCGGCCTCTCACTATGTTTGTCATGAGTCTTTGAACCCAGAAAAAGTCACCAATTACATTAGTTTTCAAAAAATTATATATTTTTAAAGAAATTAATACTTGTATTCAACAAGGTTGCATTAAATTGATCAAATGTGACATTAAAGACTTTTTGAATTTTACAAAAAAATTGTACTTCAAAAAATTGCTGTTCTTTTGAACTTTCTATTCATCAAAAAATCCTGAAAATATCACTGTTTCAACAAAAAAATCATACAGCACAACTGTTTTAACACTGATGATAATAAGAAATGTTTATTGAGAAACAAATCCGCATATTAAAATGATTTCTGAAGGATCTTCAAATTACATTGAAGATGGGAGTAATTTAAATTATAATAATATTTCACAGTATTACTGTTTTTACTGCATTTTTAATCAAATAAATGCAGCCTTGGTGAACATGAGAGACTTCTTTCAAAAGCTTTACAAAATCTTTCCGACCCCAAACTATTTTTGTTTACATTTCCTTATAATGGTTTTAAAATAGGATAATGTAACAACAAATATTTGGAACAAAAAATATGATTTTGCAATATTTTATATATTTCATATGTAAACCTGAGATCTCTCACCAACAACTTGCTAAGCTAAGACTTCAGTAGGATAGTGTAAGTGTATGTTTATGCATTAAAATTTAACCATAAAATATTTATTTAAAATTATTTTCATTAATTACAAAAACAAACCTTTAGTTATACATGAAAAGGATTTTAATAAATAGAAAAATAACACATCTTAAACAATCTTATTATGTAACGCGTGCTACTTTCAATGCAATACCTCCAACATTGTTGGTCACATTCTCTCCTTTCTCTTTCACACCCTGCCCTCTGTCACCCTGAACAGTATTTGAATGTCTTTTTGTCTCACTGTGTCCCCACTTGTTTTCCTTGAGTTTCACCATGACCAATCCATCAGAAGTTTTCACGAGAGCTTCCATGAGATCTTGGCTGTTGATAAGAGACATTTCAACTTGGCACTGTTTTATCATTTTATCCTTCTCTGAGAATACATACAGAACATCCAGAAACATACATAGCACCTGTAATGTTCAGATATTAGTGTGCGGCTTTTTTAGACTTGACATGTAAGCATTCTGTTGCCATAATCAATGCTGTTATGTACAGTGACCTCAAAGTATTTGAATTAGCATCTCTAGCATAAAATTTTGGAACCACTGTATCACTTGCATACAATTCTGTATCAAACAAACTTATGGGAACTTCACTTTGATTTAGAATTTTACTGTCTGGGTCTGTTAAACATCTTCTAAACTCAATGAGATCACAGGTTGCTACTCTAGCTATTGGAGCACATGCACACCAGAAATCAGGTCAATAAAATGAATCACCACAAATTAACCACACTACGAAGGGTGGTAGTACCTCACAGGTGCTAATAAATGATGTCATGCTAAGGATCAGAAAGCTTCCCGTGACGCTTTAGGTCATTGGCCTCTTGGAATACACTTAACTCCACAGGTGAAAACTGAGCCCGTTGAAATGGGAGTGGGTGATGTCATAGGGGTTGCTCCATGTTGTACTTTGCTGCATTCGTGTTGGCAGAGCGTGCAGCTTGTGTGCTTGCAAACCTGACCAGGCTCTAGCGACTGACATTAAACAATTGCAGTGGCTGATTTGTCTGTTCCGTGAGTTTACAGGGAAGACCATAGAAGGAGGGTCTTTTTGCTCCCTTTATTTTTAAGTTTGCTTGACGTCAAGCGGCAGGCTCAGATAGCAGGAGAGCTTGTTTCCACGAAATGTCATCCCAGGCCTACACAGTTTTACAGTGCCTCTTTAAGGATATCGGGAGATGGTTTTTGATCGCTGTGCTGTGTGAAGCAAAAATCCTCACGCAGAAGCCAGGAACAGTTTGTTGTGCAATGGGAATTCTCAAATTCTCTGGGAATATCACTTTCTAAATATTTAAAATTCAACCTTACAGCAAAACATTTATGAATGTACACACTGTAGTGTGATGTTATCCAGAAAGCATGTGACCTACTCTGCATGTCCACACTCCAGACCACACAATGAGTGTGCAGTTAACCTTCCCTGTATATCAAAGCTTTGAATCATAATTATACATCTAACCACTGTCTTCCTCCACAACTTTCCTCATTTCTCATCCTAACAGGTCTTCTTGCGTCCCCCCAGTCGGCCCCGGGGGGCCTGGAGAACAGTAAGCTCAGTGAAAGCCGTATGAACGGCGCTGGTGGCAGCAGGGAAAACAGCACTGTAGACTTTAGCAAGGTGAGCTCCCTCTACATCATGTCCTGTTGTAAATATTGTTGATGGTTATCACTTAAAGGAATAGATCCACAAAAATGACTTTTGTGTCATTTTCTCATTAATTTCTCTTTCTTGGCATTGAAACGTAGTAAAGATCAGGCATCTTTAGTGAGCAGTGATGCTGTTTTTTCATACAAATAAAGTTAACATTGACCAGGAACTGTCAAGCTACAAAAAAGAAGAAAAACACTGTTAAAGATTTTATATTACACAATATAAAAATGATCCATATGATTATAATGATTCCCAAATAATCAAGGGACCCTACATTGTTGAGCACATGTAGATGAGGTTCATCTACCATTTGTCATTTAGCTCTTATAAAAGAAAACTGGCCATCACGCATGTAGCATTTCTGTATTCCAGTGCTTCATAGTAGGCCAGTTTGTTAAATAATTGTGAGATAAGAATGTTTGCTTTACCTGTTTAAAACATTTATTTTAAATTAATTTTGTGCATGATTCTTGTAATTTTAAGCACTTTTTTATATATACTGTATATATTTAGATTTTTATAAATAGAGGGAGAGGGAGAGAGATTCTTTTCAGTTCCACAAGTTCGGCCCTAGGTTTTGTTTCTGTAATCAGTCTCAGAAAATGGTTTAAAATATAAATAATTAATTAAAAACTGCTTTGGAAGCATTGTTTTCACCACCAACTGTTTTGTAAACATGTCATAATGTAATTCAGGTTTTGCAAGCAGATTGTAAGTAAACGATAGAGTAAAAATTTAAATTGGAGATTATGACTGTTTTTGGTGCTAAACACTAACATTGTAAGTGGATCAAATGACCGGTTTAATTACTGGCGCGAGATTGTTCTGACCATAAAAGTCTCATGGCAAGATGGCAGATATATTCCAAACATTGAACACACTCTGTGTCTGTCTGGTTGGTATCAGGACAGCCAATCCCCTTTTCACTGTAGTTGCGGCTCTCTGGGAGGGGGCGGCAAAAGGCCTACTGTAAGTCTCTACACTGTTATAACTTATAACCTGTCTTCCAGTGTGTCGTCATTGAGTGTTTCATGAGGTTGTGTTTGTGACTTTGGTCTTCTGTGATGTCTTGAGTGCTTAACCATGTTTTGATTATTGTATTGTGTGTTGTGATTAAATGATGTTTGAAGTGTCTTGGGAGAAGGAACAATGTTCCTTTTTCGATGTTGCAGTACTTCACAATATTTCTAAATCTGTGTCCTTAATATGAGATCATCAGACAGTAGGGCTGTGCAATTAATTGCATGTGATTGTCATGCGCATCTCGTCAGTAAAGCCAGTTCCGTGATTGGTAGTAAATCGCCATCATCTGCTTTCAGATGGAGTGGCATTTACTACACAGAGCCGTAGTTCACTGACAAGCTAGGCAATATTGCGTTCATAATGGCATATCAGACAGTCTTTCTTTCTGCTGTATTCTAGTGAGATGCTATCACAGGTTAGTTTTTGTTGAAACAGTGAAGTATTGGTTTGAACAAATTCTCACAGTTTTATGTTTTTTTATTTTATGACCGCTTTGTTTTAAAATAAAACAGAAACTCTAGACAAATTTTTTTTCCTGTTTTCCAACAAATGTCTACCTGGTTCTGGATGAATTAAATCACTTGTAGAACATGGACAGTGTTCTTTACTTGGTTCAATTTGATAGTTTGTTTTGATACTGCAATTGATCCTGAACTTCAGATTAAGTCTTATTTTGTTAGGAGTTAAGTGACATCTTCCCACGAATCCTGATCCTGGTTAGAAAAATGTAACTCGCTAAGAGGAAAAACATTTCTCCAGACCAAACTGGTCTAGATTCTGCTGTCCTGTGGATTGTGAAATATCACTCCTCTCTCATGTGTCAGTGGTTTGGTGTGTTATGTGGTTGTGCAACTGTTGCTTTTTTTCATTGTCAATGATTTATCATAGAATTGTTTCCCATGATTTATATTTTTGTGTGTTTTATAGTTCATGTAAAGATCGTTGATCACCATATTAAACTGGCTTAACCTGAGTTTTGCCGAAATTGAGTTCCTGCAGTCTTGAAACCTGTTTTAATTAATGCATGATTACCATAAATAGAAAAAAAAAAACATCAAATGTCCTGCACAGATTTGCTAATAGACTAGTTTGATTTCCGGGTTTTGTAATACTGTGGAATGTGGTTTAACTTCAACTACATACTCCCGGTAAACCAATACACCATTCTTGAGGTTCATAAACATCTAAAGTGGCACTGCTTACCTGATATTCTACTTATCTGTGCACTTAAGGTGGACATGAATTTCATGAAGAAAATTCCTCCGGGCGCAGAGGCTTCAAATGTTTTGGTGGGAGAGGTTGATTTCCTTGAGTGTCCAATCATTGCCTTTATCCGTCTCTCACCTGCTGTTCTTCTCACTGGACTGACTGAAGTGCCTGTTCCAACAAGGTAGCACTCAGGCACCCCTAAAAAAGCATGTCTTGCTTTTACATAAATGCACATAAATGGCTTCAGTAGGTCTCTTATGGCTGGCATTGTATGTGAAGCCTTTTATGCAACTATTTCCTGAAGTTTTATTTCCTCAATCTTTTTTTAAAATTTTTTTTTTTACAGGTTTCTCTTCTTGCTGTTGGGGCCTTTCGGGAAAGGGGGCCAATACCATGAGATTGGCAGGTCGATAGCTACTTTAATGACAGATGAGGTGAGGCATCCACTTTGAATAAGGCTGTATTTACTAGTCTAGTGTGCCTATAGCTCAAACAGTAGAGCAAGTTCTTTTGAACTTTCATCAAAGAATCCTGAATCCTAAAAAATGGTCAGTTTACACAAAGATAAAAGTCAACATTGATAATAATAAGAAATGTTTGTTGAGCACCAAATCAGCAATTTAGAACAATTTCTGAAGGATCATGTGACACTGAAGACTGCGGTAATGATACTAAGAATTCAGCTTTGCATCAAAGGAATAAATATTTTAAAACATATTTTTAACATCTATCAAACATCTATTTTCAATTGTAAAAAATGTTCACAATATTACTGTTTTGACTATATTTTTTGATATAAATGCAGCATTAATGAGCAAAAGAGACTTCAGAAACATTAAAAAATTTCACCGACCCCAAACTTTTGAATGGTATTGTAAAGACGACATTGAAGGAAGCTCAGCTTGTCTTTACTCATAATCCTAATTTTAAGATTGCAGCAGTTCCATTTGCATAACTACATTTTCAGTTTCATGTCTTCTCTAACACCATGACAGATCTTTCATGATGTAGCATACAAAGCCAAAGACAGGAACGACCTTCTGTCTGGCATAGACGAGTTCTTGGACCAGGTGACAGTGCTGCCTCCTGGAGAATGGGACCCCACGATACGAATCGAGCCGCCAAAGAGCGTCCCGTCTCAGGTAATCATCGCCACAGAGATAGTGGTAACCAGAAGTTTGCTGGTTCAGTCTCTGCAAAAAGCCAGCCATGAGCCACTGGGTTAACAGGTTTTTTTTGTTGACATTTTTTATGTCTGCAGGAGAAGAGGAAGATGCCTTCCATGCCTAATGGTTCTGCTCCACCATCAGACATTATCAAAGAAGAGGAACACCACGCTGGACCTGAACTCCAGAGGACAGGACGGTCAGAGCTAGTCTAACCTCCACCATTTATTTGTTGCATACTTTTTTTTTTGCATACCTCAACCATATTATTGTTGAGTTGGTCTATAAAAGTAGGTAGAGATATGCAAAGCAGAGCATATATTAAAACCGAGAGATTCTATTATATCATGCCCTAAATATGGCTGATGGGATTATATACATGACATACTTAGACATGTTGTGCTCTTGCATTAAGCCATTACGTTGTCTGGACTTTAAGGACCTATATAAATATGTATCAAAGCTGAAC